TGCTTTAACCAGATTGCACCAAGAAGGCTGGGTGGGTTTTCTGTCTGTGAAACATGAACTATATCTGTGTTTGAAACATGAAGGAAACATGAAGCCCTATCTAGAACAGAGCTAAAATCATATGTGTTCGTGTGTGTTGTACAACAAAGACACATCTCCTATCTTGTGTCTCTGAAATATGAGCCCCCTCCATTTTAATTGCATTATCCCATGTTTTGTTTCGTGTTGTTGATCAACATAATTGATGAAAATAGAATAAAATATTCATAAGAATAGCATGCCTATTAGTAAGGAATTTAATAAAAATATTAAAACTACAATTTTGAGGACTAATGGGTCTTGATTTCTTCAATACTAGTGGCATCTTTTTCTTTAGGGACATGAAAAATAACAAGAAAGTTTAGCCTATACATGTCTCGTTTTCTAGCATAAAAATCAATGGAAGGAGCTATCAAATCATCCTTGATGATCTCCCGGAAATACTGATAAAACATAAAGGAGATACCATCAGGTCCAGGTGCCCCATCAGAGTAGGATATAAATATAGCATGCTTAACTTCTTCTTTAGTAAAGGAGCTTCCAAAGAGGTGTTATCTAAATCGAAGAGTTTATTCCCTCAGAGAAGAAATTGAGGTTAAAGCCTTTATTATCCTCTTTTAAAAAGAGGTCCTTAGAGAAAGGGGAGGCAATGTACATCATCTCATTGAGGTAAGAAGTACGTCCATTGAAGCCTTCTAAGGAATGGGTCAAAGTTTTCGTCCTCCTTTGGTTAGCTATAGTGTGAAAATATTTAGTGTTTCTATCCCCTTACAAGATATCCCTATCTTTGGATCTTTCCCTATTCTTAACTTCATCTTTTAACCAAATTCTATTAAGATATTGTAAAACATGTTTATCTCAGTGTCAACTTTAATGCCTAAAGAGTCAAATTCCATGGTAAGTGAAGTTTTAATCTTCCTAGTTTCAGTATCAACGTTCTTACTCTCAACTTTAGAGAATTTCCTAAACCTTATAACTTTCTCTTGCCAAGCAATAATTTGTGTTTTCCCTTTAACTGGGGCATTCTAATTTTTTGGCACTAAACTACTAAACTCCCTTTAGAGACAACATTTTTTAAACTTGTAACTGGGAGGGTTTGGAACAGATCCAAACCTAGGGTCCCAAAGAAGTGGAGTGTGGTCACTACCTACCCCCTAGGGAGAGCCTGGTAGGGATTCAAAGGGAGCGAGGCATCGAATTCAGTTTTAAAATATCATATCTATTGTGGGCATGAACAAGTTAGACTAGTTGTGGCCCCAAGTAATTTGTCTCCCAGACATCTTGATCTCATGGAGACTCGAGATTTCTATTTAGACATTAAATCTATCACTCCAATGGTGGTCAATGTTCCCATTACTTTGGTCATGCTGGTATCTAATTAGGTTCAAGTCACCAGCTATCAAAGTGTGTGGGAGGTCATGAATGAATAAACTATGTAATTCAAAAACGAGATCCTCCTTCCCGTGATCATACGGGGATCCATACACATAAACTAGTCTAAAAGTTTTACCACTAGATTTTATTAGAAGTGTACGTGCACATAGAAATCTTTATTTTCCAGTCGCGCCTTTTGATGTTAGAGCTCCAGCTACTAATATGCCTCCATCAGTTTTGGACCTCGAAGCGATCAACACTACACCTACTAATATGCCTCCAACAGTGCCTTTAGATATCGATGGCAAGTGATGTCAAGTAAAGTTCCTATTGTTATTGATGGATTTAAGAAAGACAGGAGAGAAATCTTCCTTCTTAGTCTCTTGAAGGCTACTATGTTAGCTTTAGTTATGGCAAAGAGTTTCAACCACACAAGGTTTTTTGCTAAGGCTAGTGATACCTCTAATATTCCAAAATAAGCAATTCATCTAAGGTTTTCCTGGGGTGCTTGCCTCGCCCATATTTTGTGACTTTGAACCAGAGAACACTCTAGTCAGGATACATGGCAGATATGCCTTTTGGCTCCTCTATGGTAACATGAGGCTCTGAAAAGGGATCAGGATCCAGTAGTCCCACAAACTGGCCAGGATCAGCAAATCTACTAGAGTTGTCACATGAATCTGTAACAACTATTTTTTCATCTAAAGATTGTCTTATGGTTTGGTTGCTCTTGTTATGCCCCATAGGCTCAAAAGGCAAATCAGAAGGAATCGAATCTAAATTTTTACTGATTAGATCAACATCAATTTCTACTCCTATGTTATTGGCTAGAGAGACAAGACTAAGATTGTTAAGAGCTCAAAACAATATTTCTGAATAATACCCTTCACTGAAGTCTTCACAACTTCCTGGTTTTGGACCTTCTTGTTGTCCATGGCAATTTCCAACATTGTTCTACCTCTAACACCCACCCTTGTGTTTCTCCTAGTATAGCTTGAAGAAGGCCCCGTTTGGATGGTTTAGGCCATTGATCTACATCAGCTGGGATAGAGGCAAATGGCATCACAATTATGGGACTAGAAATCACCTCATCTTCACCGGGATCTTCATGGTCATTTTGCTTAATGCTAGATGAATCATCATCAACCAGCTCCATTTCTGTAAGAAAATTGTAGCTAGCAAAGCCATGTTCCTGGAGTTGCTGGATGCAATCTAGGGCCACTCGTCTAGCATGGGTGTGTGAACTGTTTGGTTGTATGTGAGCGAAGGCTACCATTGTTAGAGCTAGGTGGACCAGAAGCAGCCCCACGACCATGTGCACCAGGCATGCTAGCACTTAGCCCTTCATGGATGCCAGGTCCCCCGCGCGTCGTCTCTGGCGCACGGGGGAAACCCTAACCTCGCCGCCAGCCGCCCCGCCCCGCTCCTCCCCCGCTTCGCCGCCGGAGGAGGGGACACCGGCGAAGCCCGCGTAGTCCCCAGGGAAGGTGGCGGCGGGGCGTCCTCGTCATTCTCGCGTAGATCTCGCGGCGGCCGGTGGCGCACGGCGGAATTCCGCCGGTGGCTGGCGCCTGCTGCCCGTGGGGCGGCGTCCCTCACGGCGGCGGGGCTGCCCCTGAATGGCGCTTGGTGGTGGCCACTGGATCTGGGCTTCCGGTCTGCGTCGTCAGGGCAGTGCTTGACGTTGCCCTCGGTCATGTGGCGTGGTCCGGGATGGGCCGAGCGCCGGTGGTACTGGCTAGGACGCACGCTGGCAGCGCCCTACTTCATCTCGCGTCGTCTCGCTGGCCAATGGTGGTGGTCATCTTCTTCGTCAGAGATGGCCGGCCAGAGGCTTGGTGATCGGTTCTCGGGATCCATCATCTAGTCCCGGCTGCAAGTTGGGGAAATATGTTTGCCGGTGAAAACCGAGCCGTTGGCAGGCGATGGTGGCGTTCTACGACGTTACCTTGATGGAGGCATCGTCGTGTAACTACTGTCGACCCACTCGTGCTGCTCTGGGGGAAATCCTAGGATCTGGTGTTTCAGATCGGATGATGGCGGCACTACGGTGTCGAGCATCGTTTGTGGAGCAGCGCTGGAAGTCAGAGGCAGGAGGTGGAGCGGCTTCGTCTTGCACGGAGCTTCGATGGAGATGTCAAGTCATGCCTGACCGACAGGTGCTACGCTTTGTCATGCCTGGTCGGCAGGTGCTACGCACGACAGATTCTCCAAAGACTTCAAGCTGTGTCGGCTGGTGGTACTTGGCAGTATGGTGCTGAGGTGTATCAATGGCGACCGCGACGTGCTCGGCTGTTTGCGCGCAGGGAGGAGGTGTCGTTGGGCGCCCTGGTGGCGTCGAAGATAGCTAGACCGAGCAAGGTTGATGCATCAGTACAGTTCTGAAGATGGAGCGATGGCAGTTGGCGGCGGCGGCCTCTGAGAGCACGCCGGACCGGCGAGGCCCATGCCCGGCAGGCGTCCTGGATGGGTCCTCAGGTCTTAGATGTTAGGTTTGGCTGCGATGTCTGTTTGTTATTAGGCCCAGGCTATCTGCGCCCCTTCAACAACTGGATAGGTGCAGCGACAGTTTGTTGCTTAGACGGCGGCTTTAGGCTTATTGTGGTATTACTTTGTAAGGTCTTGTGAGAATAATTAATAAAGTGGCCGTATGCATCGCCCAGATGCAGAGGCCGGGGATCATCCTCCTTTTCTTAAAAAAATGAGTAGCGATGAGTCCAAATTTTATGATGTTTTTACTTTTTGTTTTGTGTCTACGTAGTTTCCCGAAATTAACCACGCTTGTGCACCTTTTTTGCCTGTTTTCGTCGGGAAACCATTTTTGGGTGTGTTTGGGAGTTTAAGAAAAGAACGCCAAGGTATGGTGATAGAATCACATCAATAAACGTGACACAAGATTACCATAAAAGAATAAATCAATTAGGAAAAGAAAGAAGTCTCGTGGATGGATTCAGAGTGCAAGACGGCACATGGTACGAATAATTTGAAACTTATATAGACAAGAAAACAAAAATATGAGAGGGATCAGAACCAGCATGTAGCAAAACCACCTCACCTCCAACCTTTTTTTTTTTTTGCTTTTCAAAAAGGAGGTTAAACCTCCACCTCCAACTACGGCCACTTCCATAATATTGGTGTAGCTCTTCCACTGATGTGGTTCTTTCTTTATCATACACAGACATGAGGTAGGTTACACGACACATAGCAGTTCAGACTACACAACTAAACGTTACATGTGTGGCACTATGTGCGCACGACTCCCTTGGCTGACAGAGCGTGATCCGGTGCATGCAGCGAGCACTCCCTCCTGATGACCTTGGCGGCTGCGGACGCACAAGATGACCATGTTCCAACACAAAAGCTCTCAAATCTTCTCCTCGGTTAACCACGAGCTTTGTTGAACCATCTATAATATTCACAGGACTACAAGCCACCTCAGGTGGTTACTTCTTCCATCCGAAGTGTCGTTTCAGGAATCCCTCCTTCTCCTTTTCTGGTAACATATTTATTCACAGTCAGAGGGTGAGCCTTATCTTTAGATTGCATGTACGATGTGAAAACGAAAGAAATAATACTTCAGATAGCACATTTAGATTGCTCTGATAACATGTGAATGCTTTTACCGATCAATGGATAGAAATAGTAGTAGATGAAGACACTGTATTTCAATTTCATTTCATAGATGCAATTTTCACCAAAGAATATTCAGTGCATGCTAATGAAGGAATTAGCAATTGAGGAATAGCTAGGGAATAGCTTGTGGCTGCTTTTACTGATCAACTTGGATGAATAGAAATAAAAGTATATGAAGGTATTGTATTTTCATCGAAGAATATTCGTTGCATGCAAATGAAAGAATCAACACTTGAGACTTGACAGTTCTCAATCAGAATACCTTGGATGCGACCTGCATGGGTGATATTCATAAGGACTGGAGGTCTTGGCACTCCTCCTGCACCTGCTCTTGGATCTGGGGCCGGTTTGCTCCCTTTGTCAAGCCAGAGCATGATGGCCCCAGCTGTAGGTCTCTTTTCAGGTTTTGTCTTGACACACTCAAGGCCAATATCAATGCACATTTTTACTTGCCGCAGTTCGTCAGCTTCTAGTGAGGTATACTGTTGTGCTATTTGTGACTCTTCCCTCCAGTTTTCCTCTATCTGGAGAATATATTAGATCAAAAGTTTTCATTGTTCTTTCCCGCAACCAATAAAAATTATTTGATGATCAAAGGGTTAAACAAATTCTCTCACACTCTTAATAAGCACTCCGTGGTTTCCTTTGATCTCTTGCTGTGTTGTGATCTCTAGAATCATAAGGCCCAAGCTGTATATATCTACCGTAGCTAGATATTCGAGGTTAGTACCCTTAGAGTGGAAGAAATCTGGTGGCAGGTAAGCTCTGCGAAATATATGAACATATTAGTTTTAAAGCCTATTGTGATCAATAGACTAGCTAAACCTGCCGGCTACAAAACAAAGACAATTTTTCGAAAAGAAAAAAACATAGACATGTATCATGAGCAAATTCAAGAGCTAATTTTAAAACCCGAAGCACTGAGAGTATACATACATGGGTCCATTCAGCTTAAGTACCACGGATTTGGTGTTCTTTTCACCAATGAGTTTTGAAAAATCAAAACCTGTGATGTGTGGTATGTAGTTCTCATCCAGCAGTACATTTGACGGGCTTAAATTCAAATGAACAATTGGACAATTTGCACGACCCTTGTGGAGGTAATGTAAGCCTGCGCAAGTCCCTTTGATCAGTTTGTAGGGCATTTTCCAATCAATTTCACGAGATCCTTGACCTAATAAAACAACAAGTAGATAGGGAGAGATCAATGAACAAGGAGCTAGCTTAGTGAACTAAAAATGGATCAATTTTCCATCTATTTTGCAAGCAGTTCCTAAATTATATCTATCAATATCTGATTTGTACTGGAGTTACAGCTGTCTTCTACCGAAAGCAATTGTCAGGTAGTTGATTACAAATGTTAAAGAAAACAGTAACTAAACCACGACACTTATTTTGAATTGGAGGGAGTAGTTGATTAGTGATTGGTATCATACCAATAAGATAGTTGCGAAGGCTTCCGTTGTGCATATATTCATAGCAGAGCAGTTGTTCGGCACCATTAAACAGTTGTGGTAGCGGTATTCCTTTGAACTGTACCAGTCTATGTCCTCTAGATTGGTCGTGGCAGTAGCCGGCGACCTTTACTATATTCTTATGATCCAGACTAATGAATTGTTCTGCTTCCCTTTTAAACTTTTCAACTGGAATCTCCACTCCGATTAACCTCTTCACAGCTACCATTTCTCTACGTGGAACATCACCCTGTTCAAATATATATACATTTAGTATTTGTGTGTGTGTGTCTCTGTAATTAAGATCAATGAAGATGTTGAACTCAAAGGACATCAGCAAAGCAAAAGCACTGCACCGTAACATACAACCATGCGTACCTTATAAACAAATGCCTTATGTGAACCTTTGAACGTACCGTCCTTCCCAACTATTCGTTCATGTGAAAATTCATCTGTGATTTTCTCCAGGACTTTTAGGTCAGACAGATCCACCAACGCCGGCAACTTACTTACTAGGTCTGGTTTATCAGGCTCCATTGTGCTTGTTTCTCCGGTCGTGTCTGTCGAAGCGGGTTCCTCGTCACTTGGAAAAAACTCGGTTGTTGTCTCTGTCTCAAAAGCTTCTGTGTCCGATGATTCGGATTCCTCGTCTCTTGACTGCACTTATATATAAATCAACGTGTAAGCATCTATGCAATGTGTGACATCAATGTTCTCTTAGATGTGTCATGCAGGAGTAGAACCGTGAGAATTCTGCTAAGTTAACAAGGCATCGTCCCTTCTCATGTTTTTCCTTTTCTGATTTAGTTTAATTAGCACATATTTTTTCGTTGTATATGGCTTTGCGAACTACATTTCTGTTAATCATAATGGCCAAACAGAATGAACTTACTATTGTTTTGTGTCTCTGAGGATGTAAGGCATCTCTAGCCCTTCTCTTATAATTTAACTCCCCAAAAGACTTAACTCCTCAAATTTGGGGAGTTAAAAAGTGCTCACTTTTCGCTTAGATGGCCCTGGGTGGCGTGGAAGGACCCGACGAAGCTGTGGGTCGGGTTGGGGAACCCGTGCACCAAGGTGGATATGAGCCTTTTCTACGCGTCCATCGTCACCTTGGGAACTGGTGGGAAGACGTCGTTCTGGGAAGCGCCTTGGTTGCACGGAAAAAGACCAAAGGATATCGCCCTCCTCATTTTCGCAGCCTCCAAGCGCAAAAATTGATCCGTGAGGGAGGCCTTCCGGGACAATGCTTGGGTACGCAAGATCAACCATTCCATCAACCTTTCAGTAAACCACATTGTTGAGTTTGTGGACCTCTAGGTGCGTCTCGAGCACATCCATTTACAAATGGACGTTGAAGACGACATCATTTGGAAACCTGAGGCAAATGGAGAATATTCGTGGCCTCTGCTTATAGGGCCCAATTCTTAGGATCTACGTCCACCACCATGAACAAGGCCATTTGGAAGGTTTGGGCACCCCCAATGGTCAAGTTCTTCGCGATTCAAAACAGAATATGGACCACGGATAGATTGGAGAAGATGGGGTGGGAAAACGGTGGCCTATGCACCCTTTATAGAAGGGCCAACAAGACATCTGCACACCTCTCCCTTAAATGCCATTTTACACTGCACATTTGACAAATGGTCAAGGCATGGTTTGGTTTGGGAGTTCTAGAGATGAGCGGTTGGGCGACGAAACGCAACGTGAAGTCTTGGTGGACAAGCATGTTATGCCAAATACAGCAAATCGAAAGACCATGGCCTCACTCACTATGCTTGTATGATGGGTCATCTGGGTCGAGAGAAACACGAGCGTGTTCAGAAAGAAGTCGCCGCCGCCGTTTTACATCCTAAAGCTCATCCAGGCCACGGCCAAGACGTGGGCCACCGTGGGGGCTAGGCATTTGAGCACCATCATGCCACAAGCAAGAGTAGCTATTTTTGTGTATTACCTTTTGACAGGCTATGATGTAAAGCCGGCTTTATGTACTCTAAACTCTCCTTCTTAATTAATGAATTAGGCAAGTTTTTTGCCTCTGTTTCCAAAAAAAGTGCTCACCTAACCCTCCCTCAAAATTTGACTCCTCAAATGAGCTAGACCCCCATGGAAGTCTCTCTTCATCTTCTTCTTCCTTTTTCTTCTTACTTCCACATGGCCAATGTCGAGGAGCTAGCTTTTTTTTAGAAAAGGAGGATTACCCTCCGGCCTCTGCTTATAGGGCCTAGCGTAGATAATATGCATAATTAAATTGATAGAGGAGTCACCAAGCACGACATATGCAAGCGAGGAAGGAGTCGAGAAAGTTGACGATATTCATCCTTCACGGGCCACAGTTTGGGCAATTGTTTGTTTAGTGAGTTCTTCCTCACTTTGGGCAATTGTTTGTTTAGTGAGTTCTTCTTCACTGTAGTTTGACGGGGTGCACAAGGGCGATGGGGCTGGGGGTGCGCGCGCGCGCAGAGAGAGAGAGAGAGAGAGTTGCCTGTGAGAGACATTTTTATGGCCACATTTTTTGGCTGCTCAAATTTGGGGAAAATGCTAGAGATACCCTAAGCCTAGCTAAAACTGATCCTCATCTAGCAGTACGTTAGCTTCACTAAAAAAGTAGATAATGAAGTGTGCAGTTTTTTATGCTTTTGATTTGCCATACCTGCGAAAGTGACGCTGCAGAACAGTCTAGGACAAGTGGACCATTTGAATTTTCAGCTTTATCAAGCCGCTGGATAATCTCCAAAATAGTAGGTCTTTTATCTGGGTTAAAATCCTTGCAGTCATTGCTAATTTCCAGGCAAGTTAGAACTTTGTGGCAATGGTTTTCCCATGATGAAAATCCTCCTTCTTTTACCAACCTATTTTTCCACTCTGCAAGTTCCTGTGCAAATTTACACCAATACATGGTCAGAATGGCTCAGAGACAATTTCTGTTTTGAGGAGTTAGCACTCAGTTCAATAAAAATAAATCGATGGCAACACTTTGATCCAAATGTGGATTGAAAAGTTTTCTCACATCATCAATGTCCGCGTACCCTCTGCTCCCGGTCAATAACTCCGTGACCACAACTCCCAAACTGTATATGTCAGCCTTAAATGACAATATACCATCAAATGTCTCGGGTGCAATATATCCTCTGCACATATGATAGGTGTGAGGCAATCGGCCGACAAACTCTAACGCATTTTGGTTAGGGATTCCCTTTTGGTTATCGAAGTACCTATGTCAGCACAAACAAAACAAAATTACCAGAGGATCGGGGTAGCTTACAGAGTTCCGCGAATGTTTTCGGCAATGCATGAAGTTTGTCCTTCAAAGGACCGGGACAAACCGAAGTCATAAATTTTTGGCACAAGATTATCCCCTATTAATATATTGCTTGGTTTGATATCTCCATGAAAAACGTGCACTTCGTCATGAAGATAACGCAAACCCTGACAAATTCCTTTTAGAATTTGATAACGCTGGTTCCAGTCAACTTCACCATACTTACCTGCAGAAGTATTGACAATATCATGAAATTTATCTTGTCATCCCGAAAGGCTTACATGAGATAGCAATAGGTCGAACACAGGAGCATATGTATTGTCGAACAAAGAAGCATATGTATCATCCCAAAATTTCTAGTAAATCACAAACGGCCAGCGGTCAAATCCAAGATCCTATAAAATCAGAGTTTTTTTTAAAAATAAATTCTGTAAAATAAGAGCTAATTTCAAGAATCCGTCACATTAAAGACTAGGTTATCAGAAAATACAAGTTTATATTTTTTTGACACAAAACACCATGTCCATGGTAAAAAAAAAAGAATCTTCGTAAAACACTGATCAACAGATTAGTTCCCTTTAAGCACGTTAACGACAGATGGATCCCGCTCGTCAGGAGCAAACTTGCCAAAAAAAAAAAACGCCACGTGGGCACTTTGACTGGTCTTCTCTAGCCAACTCTCTCTTCCTCTCGCCCAATCCCCATTCAAGACGCCGCAGCGGCCCTCGACTCCCTCGGTGCCGGCATACGCCGCAGCTAGCTAGCGCCCGCCGGCGACCTTGTGACCATCTCCCCATCGCCACCTCCACTACCGTACAGTCATACCATCTCCCCCTCCTCTCAACCCCCACGCCATGGACACCAGGTGGACCGTGGAGGTGCCCCTCGCCGTCTCGCCGCGGCCGCCGCCCCTCCAGCAGAGGAAGAACGGTTGCTCGAGGCACATCCCCAGGAGCTCCTTGCGCCACCTGCACTTCCTCTACGAGCGCCTCCACCGGCAGCGGGTTTCAGGAGGCCAGGAGCTCCTACCGCTCCCACACTGGTGGCGCCAACGCCGGCTCCGGCCATGGATGCCTTCTGGCCAGCGGAGGTAAGAAGTCTGAGGCCGCCATGGCCGACGTCGTGGCTTCACGCCCCGTCCGAGTGCATCTCCAGGTGAACGGATGGTTGGGGGTGCGCCGAGGGAGGCCAGCGGTAGCGGAGGTGGGACCAAGCAGTGAGCGCGGCGAGGTCGAGCGACTTCTGCTCTACAGCATATCGGCAGCGGCGAGCAAGAGAACGAGGCCAGCGGTTTAAAGAAGAGTGGGGCATTGGAAAGGCGACGTGGCTGCAGGAGGCGCATGGAGCAGCGTGGTCAATGATGGCGGCGCTAGAAGGAAGAAGAGCTGTGCGACGCCATGGGCTCGGTTGTGGACACGGCTAGAGGGTCCTCAGCGAGTGTGGATGTCGGTTGCCAAAGGGTAAGCGCGCGGACACTGGCAGGTCACGCTGCAGGTTTTTTTTAAGGGAAACGTTTCTGGCCGGCGGACCGGCAAGTTTTCGGCCGGCCGCATGCAACACAGCGTGTTTGTTGTGGAGCGCTGCTACACAGACGACAGATTTGGACGATCAGCGGACGACACTACACATCAAGCCGTTGATGAGTTAGAGCAAAAGCAGACAACACCGTCCATTCCTGCATCGTGTGGGGTTCGGCCAGCTAGTGTCGTCCGTCCAGCAGTTTTGTTTGTTATGTGGGCCATAGTTTCCTCTTAAGTTTATCTCTTTAGACTTCTTCCCATCCACTCATTCCTTGGCTCTGTTTGGATCCCTAAGTTAGAGTTAGTTTTAGTTAGTTGGGGCTCAAATAACCCAAAAGTATTCAAACACGATGGGTTAGTTTGGGTTAGTTGGATCTAACCCACCTTAAAAAACTAGCCCACACTAGAGGAGCTTATTTGGGTTAGTTCTCTTGGACCCACCCAAAAATTAGTAAAAAAAATTACCCCTCCCATCCAAACATTGTCTAAGGTAGTCAATTGATTGAGAAAGAATATTTATTGTCAATCTAACCCTACTATCCAAATAGCACTTTGGTTAGAGTTAATTTAGGGTTGGTCCAGGGTTAGAATCTAATCCTAACCTCTAACTGAGTTAGAGTATCCAAACAGGGCCCTTGTTAGTCTTCCTCTCTTCGTTCTCTCCTTTGCTTTTTCTCTCGAAGCTGCCATGGACGAGCATCTCCTCTCCTTTTTTTACTTCGTTGCCGCCATGGATGCTCTTCCTCATGTTGCAGTGGCCGCTATGGACCCCTCCCTCCTCACCACTTGCGCTGCTCGCACGCATACACACACCCATGCCTGATGGGGTGGGCGAGGTCGTCGGCGACGGGACGACGAGATGTGGCGTCGGGTGTGGAGCATGTTGCAACCGATGGCAACGAGGGATGTAACCATGGATGGAGGGGCTATAACCGGTGTCCAGGGAGCTGCAACCATGGACGGCAAGCATGGTGACTACTGGCGGCGACGACGGCGGCGTTGATCCTAGCAACATCCAACATCGCGATTTTTTGCTACATGCTACAACCGACGTCACTAATTGTTACAACCGGCATTCCATCCAGCTACAACCGGCGTGGCATTTTGCTACATCGCACAACCCGACATCCTCATTTTTTGCTACAATCGGCATCACGCCATGCTACAACCACCATCGAGAAATTCTACAACCGGCGGCACGACAAGCTGCAACCAGCAGCGCAGCGAGCTGGGATGTCTCGGCGGCGAGACAATTTTTGCTGGAACCAGCGGTCGATTTTGCTGGAAGAGGTGAGCCGATTTGTTGCGACCGTGAGCTGCGACCAACGAGCAATGACATTGGGCGTTAGCGGCGGCGAGCATGCCGGCGAGCTGTGGCCATCACCACCACAGCTGCGCCCGTCGCCCTCGGCCACCTGTAGCATGCGGGAGCCGGTGAGAAACACAGGCGGCAACCGGCGACGAGGTCGGCGACCGGCGGCAAGGGCAGCGGTGCTTCCAGGTTGGTCGTCTGCTCGTCCATGGCGCGTGTTGGTGGCGGCCGCTGCTCCTTTCTGTTCCTGCTGTGCTTGTCGGATCCGAATTTTTGGGAAGGAAAAGCTACACGGGAGCGTAATATGATGGTTGTATGCGCTTTGATCTGACGGCTGAGCGTTGACCGGCAGAAACTCGGCCGGTCGACCGGCGCCTAGTGGTCGCCTTTTTTATGGGTTTTTAAGGTTTTTTTAAGGGACACCGGCAGGACAGTGGCAGGCCAACGCCGAGGAGGCCGGCGCCACCGACCCCAACTGCCCCTCCCAGTGAACACAAACTGTTCGACGTAATGCAGAACGTAGGGGCGGACACATTTGGCATTTTTCCAAGTCAGCCCCTAACAAGCGGGACCCATCTGTCATAAATGTGTTCAGAGCGCTATAATCCGCCTATCAATGGTTAACATAAAAAATTACAATAGACATGATGTTTTCTATCAAAAAATAAATAAATTCATGTTTGCCGATAACTTAGCCTTCAATATGGTGGGTCCTTGCAATTAACAGGCCGACTTGGTAAATTTTGCCCCTCAAACGCCCACGGACGCGCCTGATGAGGGACGCTGATCAGCCCGGGCGTTTGAGGCACATTTAAGCATCTGTCTGGGTCAGATTTTTTTGACTGGTCACTTACAGGGCTGTCTCTCCATGCATTTGAGGGGGGTTTGGGACGCATGGCTATAGATGCTCTAAAATCGTGACGCATTTTTCCACCCAAGAGTACATAGCTTGACCCAAGCAAACCTAGCCATCGTGACCGAATCCAGCGCCCTCGCTGCCTCTGTTGTCAGCTCGATTTTAATGCTCGGCGCTCTTTCTTTTTGTTCTACTAGTGGTCCTAATTTGTTCCCGTGAGTTCTATAGTTTGGTTGTTCTACTTAGTTTGAACCTTTGTTCCATTAAAACCATGATGTGTTCCACTATCTATTAAACAAACAGCCGCACATAATAAAACAATAAAGGAAAGTAGTGGCTGAATCCCATCTCGGTGCATCCTACGCTACACTCACGCAAGAAAAACATATTAAAATATTTTTAAAAATCTGAAACTTTGTGAAAATGATCATCAATAAATAGTAGAGAGGCTTGTCAAATTTGGTTGTCAAATGTCATCTGATGAGAACTATAAAAAAATACAATTTTGATCAAACAGTGCACATACATTTTTGAGTAATTTTTTTTTGTATTAGAGCTCCTCAGATACCATTTGACCACCCAAAATTTGTAAGCATCTCTAACATTTGTTGCTGATCATTCACACAAAGTTTCGGGTTTTTTCAAAATGTTTTGTTATATTTTTTTGTGTGGGTGTAGCATACGTGGGTGCATCAAGGATGGGTGTAGAAAACCACTCTCAAAACAACAAAAGGAAAGAGAAGGAAATAATGCTAGGACAGGCATGCAGTGTTTGTCAATCTTACCGATATGTCCTTCAAGGGTTCCATTCGACACATACTCCAGACAGATCAACCTTTCGCGGACCTCTCCCAAAACAAGTTTTCCGTTGTATTTCATGGCTTGACATTGCGTGTCAGCACAATAGCCTATGGGCCGCACTATGTTCTTGTGAACGGCCATCATTGTGATAGAAACTTCATTTTGAAAATTCCTTTCATCCGTATGATTATTGTTAAACCTCTTGACAGCAATACGTAACCCACTTGGGAGCACTCCCTATACAGTCGACCACATTGAGAAGTTACTAATCAACGAGATAGGATTTGCTTACTATGCAAGGAGATTGGAGTTTCATAGTACGTACCAGGTAAACCTTTGAAAATCCACCGTCACCAATTAAAGATTCATCGGAGAAATCATTTGTTATCTGCTTGAGAAGCGGCAACGACAGCTTCATTGGCTCTGCACTTGTATGGCGTACGACGTGTTCCAGTGCATCTAGCTCCGCCTCCTCGAACCCGTCTCCGTCCATTTCTGAGTACGCGCGCAAGAAGCTTTCTAGCAATCACTAGCTTATATGTGCTACGTATATGAGTATGAATTTGGCTGCGAGCCTCTCCTTTCTTCGTTGCTGCGCAAAGCAAATCAAGCAGCACATATGTAGGTATAGCTAAGTACTCGTCCAGCTGGAGATATCGTATCAAGTATCAACACGATTTAGAGGGAGAGGAGAGCAGCTAGCTAGAGCACATCTCAATTACTGACCTGGAGATCAAAGCAAGCAAAGGGGGAACGGAGACCCTGCAAAACTGGGGTTGCTTCCAGCTGGTCGATGATGCTCAGCAAAGCAAAAGCATTGAGCAAAGGGAAATGAGTAGAACCAGATCTGGATGGGCCGAATATATGCTCCCTTTTTTTTTGCGGGGAGAATATATGCTTCCTTGGTTACTAGCTGTACCAAAGGCACGCACAATCGCCATCGGCTTGATAAATGACTGGTCGGGTGGGTGACCGAGGGAGCTCGCATTTTGCATTTTGAGTTGAATTTATTTATTCATTTATTTTGTAATTGAAAAATCAAATTAGTTAGCCTACACCTTGAGTTTTAGACAAAAAAATACTAAACTACTGTAATAAGAGAGGAACCCTTGCGGCTTTTTAACTAAAACAAGAGAAAAGTGTGAGTCACACACGTCCGAGGATCAAACCCGCGTCGGCTAAGGGACACACTAGTTGTTCACTTTCTGGCTTTTTTCGTGGCACGGATTAACCTGATTCATTTTTTTTTTGCACACACAATCATCTCCACTTTGTGGCTCCTTTGTAACATATATACTTATCGTCAGGAAAACTAGACTTCAATTATCACAAGACAAGAAATCCGGTCGGTTCCTTTGTCTCACTTGAGGAAACAGGATTTAATAGTACATCACATGTTTGTTTGATTATTTTTGATGAAATATATTTTTTCTCAGGTGCGTCTAGGTGTGTGTGTAGCCAAGCAACAAGTGCACACCTCTCCACCACCACTTGTGCCTTGTCGTCTTGATCTTATCCCTACCAGGCTGTGCCACCGTATGAGCTGACTGACTTTTCTTCTTCTTCTTCTCTCTTGATACTACTTAGTTTTTTCCAAGGCCACCGCAAGATCACCTCATCATAATCTGACCAAACTGTTGCCAGCAGCGTGTTCTGCTCGTTTGGGCTATTATGTTTTGTGTTTTATGGAGCTCCCCGCTGCCTCCTCACCCGACAGCTTGTTTGCTTCAGTATATGCAATCCGAGCAAAGGATTGCTAGGACGGTAAATGTGAATCGAGTCCCGTGTATATATATATATATATGCAATCTGAGCATTTTGCTTCAGTAAAAGTTTATGAATCCCGTGTGTTTGTAAACGTCGTTATTTGGTGGGTCTAGTGGTAAAGTTGCGAGTTTGCAATTGTCCCACACTCCATCAAGGGAGGCAGTTGTCAGTCAGGTTCTGCGTACGTCATGTTTTCATGGCAGTACCGGTGATAAGGATTGGCCGACAATATCTCTGCATTATGCAGACCAAAGTTCCCGATATTGGTTCCAAAAAAAAAACGGTCTAATACTTGAATGTGTACTTCAGCTGTGTGTGTGATTTTGTGAACATCCTATCTGCAATAGTGTCCATATGATCGGTAACGGGAAGATGTAACTCTTGTTGAACATAACATTGTTCCATCTACGTGACAGGGTTCAAAACGTTCTGGAGATAAGCACCGCGCCAGAAGTCCAACTAGATAGACTAGGATCTTTTGTTATTCGCATATGGTTGTAACTCCTTTATCTCTTTCTCTCCAAGAGTGTAATCTGAACCAACTTTGTACGCTTCACCAGGAGGTCTCGACCTGGTTATTTAACACGTAGTCATCGCCCCAGGATGGGTACGACGTTCTTTCACATGGTATACAGAGCCTAACTCTTTTCATCTAGCCTTCCTCCTTCCACCGCAGCTTCCTGCCATGGCCTCATCCGCCGCCGCCTCCTCTCCCCTCTCCAGCCAGATCACCGAGCGCCTTACCCGCACCAACTACGTCCTTTGGCACACTCAGATCACGCCGCAACTGAGAGGAGCTGGAGTCTTCGGGTACGTTGACGGAAGCATGGCGGAGCCGGCCGAGTTCGTCGTCAGCAAGGACAAGGATGGAAAGGAGGAAACCATCCCCAACCCGCTCCATGCCGTCTGGTTCCGAGAGGATCAGCAGGTACTCGGTTATCTCCTGAATAACATGTCCAAAGAGGTGCTAGTGCAGGTCACCTCCATCGCGCATGCACGCGAAATCTGGACGGCGCTGGCGAGCATGTTCTCGTCAACGTCGCTGTCCCGCATCAACAACATCCGCGCCGCCCTCACCAATGCGCAGAAAGGAACGCAATCGGTGGCCACCTTCTTCGCGTATATGCGGGGACTCGCCGACGAGCTCGCCGCGGCTGGCAAGCCGTTGAAGGATGATGAGTTAATCTCTTATATCCTCAACGCGCTTGACATGGAGTACCAGCCATTGGTGTCCTCCCTCGACGCCCGCACCACCCCGGTCACCCTCGACGAGCTGTTCGGGCAGATGAGTAACTTCGACCAGCGGGTGGCTCTTTTCCAGGGAGCGGGCACGGCAGGCTGCTTCAAGTCGTCGGCAAACGTTGCCACTCGCAGTCGGGGCGGAGGCTCCCGCTCCCGCGGTCCACCTCGGAACGGCAAGGGTCGGGCCTCCGGCAATGGCAACAGCAGCGGCACCAACAACACACGCGGCGGCCGGCCTTTCTCCTCCAACAACCGAGGCCGGCGCAACAACTCCTCCAACAACAGATCACGCCCTGATGCAATCAGGTGCCAAATCTGTGGCAAGCCGGGACACTCCACGAAAGACTGTTGGTATCGTTTTGAAGAAGATGAAGATGATTCCTCCCAAGATGAGAAGGTGGCCGGAGCTGCTGATGGCTCCTATGGCGTCGACACCAACTGGTACGTCGACAGCGGCGCCACAAACCACATCACCGGTGAGCTGGAGAAGGTGACCATGCGCGACAAGTACCGTGGCAAAGATCACATCCACACAACAAGTGGAGAAGGTATGAAAATTAGTCTTGTTGGTCACTCAATTATTAAAACCCCTCATCGGAAAATTCACCTTAGGAAAATTTTGCATGTCCCTAGTGCTTCAAAAAGCCTTCTTTCCGTTCATCGCATTGCCATTGACAATCATGTCTTTCTTGAGTTTCACCCTTACTTCTTTTTGATCAAGGGTCAGGCAATGAAGAAGGTGCTATATCGAGGTAGATGCGTTCGTGGGCTTTACCCTTTGATTCCGGAGATTAGAAGATTCAATAAACAAGTTTTTAGTGCCACCAAAGTGTCTTCAACACGATGGCACGATCGTTTAGGACATGCATCCTTTTCCTTAGTTGAGAGATTACTTAAGAAAAATAAGCTCCCGTATGTTGGAGAGCGTGATGTTGAGACAATTTGTGATTCTTGTCAAAAGGCTAAAAGCCATCAATTACCTTATCCAATTTCTACCAGTGTTTCTACCAAGCCTTTACAACTTGTTTTCTCTTATGTGTGGGGGCCTGCCCCCTCCTCTGTTGGTAGACACACATATTATGTGAGTTTCATAGATGACTATACCAAGTTTTCATGGATCTATCTTCTTAAGAAAAGATCGGATGTGTTTCAAGTGTTTATGAATTTCCAAGCTCTTGTTGAGCGCCAATTTGATTGCAAAATCCTGGCTCTCCAATCTGATTGGGGAGGGGAGTACGAGAAGCTAAACTCGTTTTTTCAGAAAATTGGCATATCTCATCACGTGTCATGTCCTCACGCTCATCAACAGAATGGGTCTGCTGAACGCAAACACAGACACATCGTTGAAGTCGGTCTAGCCCTACTAGCCGGCGCCTCCATGCCCTTAAAGTTTTGGGACGAGGCTTTTCTTGCTGCGGTACATATCATAAATGTGCTCCATAGCCGTGTCATCAACTATGAAACTCCTATTGAGCGTCTCCTTCACACCAAACCCGACTACACAACCCTTCGTGTGTTTGGTTGTGCTTGCTGGCCCAATCTCTGTCCATACAACACTCGCAAGCTCATGTTTCGCTCTAAGCAATGTGCTTTCCTTGGCTATTGCGCCCAATACAAGGGTGTCAAGTGCCTTGACATCTCCACTGGTCGCGTTTATATCTCTCGCGACGTCATTTTTGATGAGACAAAATTTCCTTTCTCTGAACTCCATCCAAATGTCGGTGCACTCCTTCGTAAAGAAATTCTTCTTCTACATCTGTTGGAAATATGCCCTAGAGGCAATAATAAAAGTATTATTATTATATTTCCTTGTTCATGATAATTGTCTTTTATTCATGCTATAACTGTATTATCCGGAAATCGTAATACACGTGTGAATACATAGACCACAATATGTCCCTAGTGAGCCTCTAGTTGACTAGCTCGTTGTGATCAACAGATAGTCATGGTTTCCTGGCTATGGACATTGGATGTCGTTGATAACGGGATCACATCATTAGGAGAATGATGTGATGGACAAGACCCAATCCTAAGACTAGCACAAAAGATCGTGTAGTTCATTTGCTAGAGCTTTGCCAATGTCAACTATCTCTTCCTTCGACCATGAGAGCGTGTAACTCCTGGATACCGTAGGAGTGCTTTGGGTGTATCAAACGTCACAACGTAACTGGGTGACTATAAAGGTGCACTACAGGTATCTCCGAAAGTATCTATTGTTTTATGCGGATCGAGACTGGGATTTGTCACTCCGTGTAAACGGAGAGGTATCTCTGGGCCCACTCGGTAGGACATCATCATATGCGCAATGTGACCAAGGAGTTGATCACGGGATGATGTGTTACGGAACGAGTAAAGTGACTTGCCGGTAACGAGATTGAACAAGGTATTGGATACCGACGATCGAATCTCGGGCAAGTAACATACCGATAGACAAAGGGAATTGAATACGGGATTGATTAAGTCCTTGACATCGTGGTTCATCCG